TATACAAGATTTTTGCCGAAATTTACGGGTCCGGTGACCCCTCACTTTAACATATAGGTCTGCATCTAGGTAACATACCCTATTTTCAAGCTTGTCAATCTCATTTTTTGGACCCAAAAAAAAGGAATTAGCTACGAAATTCGTTACTGATTGTCGCTAAATAGTCTATACCTAATAGGATTTTTCTATAATCCATCGCAAATCCGTCGTAAATAAGTTTACCGACAAAAGTACGTTGTTTAGCGACGAAGTTCGTCCGATGCTATTTTTTTTCTAGTGGTACAACTACCTGATCTTCCCTGAGCCGAGGGTCTACCGGAAACAACTACTCTACCTTAGCGGCAAAAATATAATTTGTCTGATGCTAATTTTTTTTTTTTTTGGTAGTGGTACAACTACCTGATATTGTATATTTTGACTTGATAATGCATAATTTTTTTCTAAATTACCAATGCGTAGAAGTTAAATTCTTATAGATAAATTTTAAAAGTTAATAGAATTTATTCTTTCTTTCAATGTATGCAGCTATATTGGAGTGCAAACTCAACACACAAAAACCCAGAATATTTCCCAGAGCCACAAAAGTTTGATCCTTCAAGATTTGAAGGTTCAGGACCATCTCCTTACACATTTGTGCCATTTGGAGGAGGGCCAAGAATGTGTCCAGGAAAAGAATATGCAAGACTTGAAATACTTGTTTTTATGCACCATTTAGTGAAAAGGTTTAAGTGGGAAAAAGTTATTCCTAATGAGAAAATTGTTGTTGATCCAATGCCTATTCCTGCTAAAGGACTTCCTGTTAGACTTTATCCTCACCAAGTTTAGTCAACTATGTTAATCTCAGTCTTTTTTTAATGATATTTTTAAGTTAAATATCCCAGGAAGTTTTTGGGAAAGGTGTATAAAACAGACAAAAACTATATGGTTATTTTCAATGTAAGATTGCTGGCCTTCTATGGATTTGATGGGTTAATTCTTATAGATAGTCTCTTCACTTTCAGTTTATTGTATTAAAGTTGCTAAATTATTTTTTATAACGAAGTAGTACTACTAGTGGCGGAGCCACTCATTGGCGAGGGGAGTCAATTGATATCCCTTCGTTCGAAATTATACCACATAGATAGATTAAATATTTTATTTTTATGTATATACTATATATTGACTCCCGTTAATTTTTTTATATACTTACTTATTTATATTTTGACATTCGTTAAGGAAAATTCTGGCTCCGCCACTGAGTAGTACAAGTTTGATTCAGGAACTATGATGATGGATTGGAGATCATGATCAAGTTTTGATGATCTCTAAAGTCATGGTTCCGAATCAAGTCAGGGTAGTGGATGTAGCTTTTCTTCTGAGGTGTCTTAGTTCGTAGCTGCCGAAATGTAGCACTGAGGTGAGGAGTGCACTAGCTAGGTGGAGTCTCCTTTCGGAATTACTTCTTTTTCCTAGCCACGTTTGAAATGATCTATGTCATGGAACCAAGATAAACTATCTATCTATATTTATCTATATTATTATAAAAGCACAAATATTAGAATGTTAAATATTGAATGACAAAAATAACCTCAAAATATTGACCAACTTTTATATCCTTCACAATTGAATTATTTTAAAAAAAAATTAGAATATAGGATAAAACAGTAACATCAAGTGCCTAAAATATAGGAGTTTGAAACCAACCAATAAAAGAAAATTTTAAAAACATAAAATAACGTGAATTTAAGTTTGAGTGCCTAAAATATAGGAGTTTGTTACCAACTAATAATAGAACTTCTTAAATGTCATTGGAAAAAAAAAAGAATTTCTTAAGCCATAATATAGCATAAATTATTTCTTTAAAAAAAATAGAATATAGGATAAAACAGTAACATCAAGTGCCTAAAATATAGGAGTTTGAAACCAACCAATACAAGAAAATTTTAAAAACATAAAATAACATAAATTTAAGTTTTAGTGCCTAAAATGTAGGAGTTTGTTACCAACTAATAATAGAATTTCTTAAATGTCATTGGAAAAAAAAAAAAAGAATTTCTTAAGCCATAATATAACATAATATTCCTATGCCATCCTAACAATATCTAAAAGAAACAAAAAATTAGAGTAAGTTTAAAAGTGGAGAATACATAATTAGCAGCCTATTTTTTTCGGCTTCAAAATCAAGAGGTAGTATTTAATTATAATTCTATTTTCTATTGTTTAATACCAAAATAATCTATAAATTTTTGTAGGATTAATGTAACGACCTGGCCGGTCGTTTTGAGTATTATAACCCCATTTTCTCATTTACTGCTCAATTTATGCTTTACATTTATTATGTGACTTGCTGGGAGTAATTGATTCGAGTCCGGTGAGGTTTTTGAATGATTAGGAACACCTAGTTCCAAGGTTTCGAAATTTAGTTGAGAAGGTTGACCAGATGTTGACGTATGTGTAATGACCGGAGAATTTTCGCTAAGGAAATTAAGGTTTTGTGGTGTCGAGGTAGATCAATTAGTACAAATATTGTAGAAATTTCTCGCGGCGAGCTTGCGAGCCACGACTTGGACATTTTGGATTGAACAATGCACCGGGGAGTAAAGAAAATTTTTTGACGGAAAAACGTATTTCTGCGGTCCATTATGCGACCACATAATCACTCTGCGGGCCGCATAATGGCCGCAGAAGTGAGGTAGAAGAGGGCCAGTTTGGATGAAATCTGTTGTCGACTATGCGACCGCATAACTGTTCTGTGGTCACTATGCGACCACAGAATAGGTATGCGGGCCGCATAGTGACTGCATATACAAACAGATGTTTGCCAGTATTGGACACCGATTATGCGACCGATATGCAGTCCGCATAACCATTATGCGGTCACATATGCGACCGCAAAACCTGTTCCGGAGCTTCATTTTTCTGGTTTTATAAATCCGACTCCATTCTTATAAAACACTATTCTGAAGGTGCTTCATGCAGTATAACCGGAACTTCATGCAGTAGAACCTGTCTGATTGCCTACGCGTCCAGACACCTGAAGGTGCAAGAAAAGAACTATTCTGTCTACGACCTTGAGTTAGCAGCTATTGTTCATGCATTGAAGATATGGCGGCATTATTTGTACGGTGTTCCTTGTGAGATTTACACCGATCATCGGAGTTTGCAGCATCTATTTAAGCAGAAAGATCTTAACTTACGTCAACGGAGGTGGTTGGAGCTACTTAACGATTATGATATCACTATTTTGTAACACCCTGGGAAGACCAATGTGGTAGCCGATGCTTTGAATCGCCGGGCAGAGAGTTTGAGAAGTTTAGCATATCTACCAGCAGCAGAGAGGCCATTGGCGTTGGATGTTCAGGCCTTAGCCTGCCAGTTTGTGAGATTAGATATTTCTGAACCGGGTCGAGTATTGGCTTGTGTGATCTCTCAGTCTTCTCTTTATGATCGTATCAGGGGACGTCAGTATGATGACCCCCATCTGTTTGTCCTTAAGGACACGGTCCAGCATGGTGATGCTAAGGAAGTCACTATTGGAGATGATGGTGCATTGAGGATGCAGTGCAAGCTATGTGTACCCAATGTAGATGGTTTGTGTGAGTTGATTCTCCAGGAGGCTCACAGTTCGCGGTACTCTATTCATCTGGGTTGCCGCGAAGATGTATCAGGACTTGAAACAACATTACTGGTGGAGGAGAATGAAGAAGAGCATAGTAGAGTATGTGGCTCGATGTCTGAATTGCCAGCAGGTAAAATATGAGCATCAGCGACCAGGTGGATTGCTTCAGAAGTTAGAGATTCCAGAGTGGAAATGGGAGCGGATCACTATGGATTTCATTGTTGGACTTCCACGGACTCAACGGAGGTTTGATGCAGTTTGGGTGATTGTGGATAGGCTGACCAAGTGGGCTCATTTCATTCCTATGATAACTACCTATTCTTCCGAGCAACTAGCTCGAATCTACATGCGTGAGATCGTCAGGCTTCATGGCGTACCGATATCTATTATCTCTGACCGGGGTACGCAGTTTACATCAAGGTTCTGGAGAGCTGTACAGAATGAGTTGGGTACTAGGGTTGAGTTGAGCACAGCATTTCACCCTCAGACGGACGGGCAGTCCGAGCACATTATTCAGGTATTAGAGGATATTCTCCGTGCGTGTGTGATAGATTTTGGTGGTGCTTGGGACCAGTTCTTGCTACTTGCAGAGTTTGCTTACAACAACAGTTATCAGTCCAACATTCAGATGGCACCATATAAGGCTCTGTACGGTAGGCGGTGTCGGTCCCCAGTAGGTTGGTTCGAGCCCGGCGAGGCAAGATTATTTGGTACGGACTTGGTTCAGGATGCCTTGGAAAGGGTGAAGGTAATTCAGGATAGACTTCGCACAGCCCAGTCCAGACAAAAGAGTTATGAGGATCGAAAGGTTCGCTATGTAGCATTCATGATTGGAGAGCGAGTCTTGCTCCGTGTTTCGCCTATGAATGGCGTTATGAGGTTTGGGAGGAAGGGCAAGTTGAGCCCTCGGTATATTGGGCCTTTTGGGATACTTAAGAAAATTGGAGATGTGGCTTATGAACTTGCTTTGTCACGTAGTCTATCAGGTGTTCCTCCAGTGTTCCATATATCCATGCTCCGAAAGTATGTTGGAGATCCGTCTCATATTCTGGATTTCAGTACAGTGCAACTGGACGGTAATTTAACTTATGATGTGGAGCCGGTGGCTATTTTAGACCGGTAGGTTTGAAAGCTGAGGTCCAAGAGCATAGCATCAGTGAAGGTGCAGTGGAGAGGCCAGCCAGTCGGAGAAGCTACTTGGGAGATTGAGCAGGAGATGCAGAGTAAATACCCACTCTTATTTGAGACTCCAGGTATTATTCTAAACCCGTTCGAGGACGAACGTTTGTTTAAGAGGGGGAGAATGTAACGACCCGGCTGGTCATTTTGAGTATTATAACCCCGTTTCCCCATTTACTGCTCAATTTATGCTTTACATTTGTTATGTAACTTGCCGGGGGTAATTGGTTCGGGTCCAGTGAGGTTTTGGAATGATTTGGAACACTTAGTTCCAAGATTTAGAACTTAAGTTGAAA